ACTAATATTATTGTTGTTATTTATAATTATTGTTTATAATTTATACAATTAACCTCCCTATAGTTCGACCCCGATCTTGTCAGGTCATTTATTATTTTGACACTCCTGTATTTAGAAAAAGACATCAATTTTTTAGTTATTGACAAAAATCATGTAGACAGACTCAATATGTAACCATAGATTAAATATTCTATTTATTAATAAATAATAATTATAGTAGTAGTGATTATTGATCAATTAATTTCAATATAAAAAAGTTGATTCAAGTACAAACCAAATACATGTGATTAAGCAATCCAGTGTGTTTACGAAGAATTTCAAATTAATTCATACAATTTTTTTTTTTTTCATCTTAATTTTTTTTGTCCTTTATTTTTAAGTTGATCATTAGAAAACAAAAAACCTAAAAAGTATAAGTGATTTGATATAGCTATAGACAAAAGTTCTTATTCATATTAACAGTGTAAATATATTTTTGCCTTGACAAAAAAGCTGATTTGACCTATCATCGGGGGTAGATTTATTTTTCCAAATGATACATTAGTTATTTCAAAATTGATTTGGCATAAAATGGCTAGGATATTTTACAAAAATAGCTAAATGACAAGTTTTCCCTTAAAACCAAAAATAGTTAATCTTTTGGTGAAAGGCTCTGGTTTTCTTTAAAAAACAAAGTACAACAAAGTTACGGCCATGCCATTAGGAGGGGAAAAAAGAACATTTACAGTCTTTTTCATTTTTAAAATAGCAAGATGTTTTAATTATTTTCTGGTTTTTTTGTTATTTTTTAATTTGATTAGGAATTATTTAATAATTTTCAGTTATTATTTATCATTAAAAAAAAATTAACGCATGGACACGCAATACATGAAGGGCTCCCACGTCGTTCGAGTAGCTTGTGATAGTCTATTAAGTTACCAAAATCCTGCTTCCATGATGACATTGGAAGCAATGAGTCGTTCTCTTTTTAATGATTTGGTTTGTGCTTACATAGGAGATCTGGTTAGGCTTTTATGAGGTTTTTTGTTTTTCTTTTCTCCTTTTTTTTTTTCATGTCCTTGAAATTCTTACCCGACCTTCTAAAAAATTTATGTACTTCAATTTGTAGTTTTATTAATTTTAGCTCTTCTTCTTTATATTACTATTTATTTGACTTTTGATGTTTTTTGAAGTTTAGTTTTTTTTTTATCCCTAAAATTTTTATTCAATTCAATCCTTCTATTTTTTATTGCTCTATTTTTTTATTATATATTTTTTTTATTAATATTTTTTTTAAATTTCATCTCTTATTATTTTATTTCATTTATTTTTTAATCTATTTTTGGTTTCATTTTTTTGATTTCTATATTCTTATCATTTTCTTAATTTATCTTTTAAAAAAATTTCCCTCAATATTTATTTTTTATTTGATTTTTTTATCTAGTTTTGGCCTTCATTCCTTTTCTTAGCTTTTTTTAATCCTTTTCTTAGTTTTTTTTTCAATTTAACTCCAAATTATTTTCTTTCATTTTGTTTGTATATTATATTTAGTTTGTATTGTTTGGGTTTTAAATTGGTTTATAATTTAACATTTTTCTTTGTCATTTTTTCATGGTTGTCTTCCAACAAGGCAATCCTTTAATTAATTTTTTTTAATTCATCATTTAGCTTTGGTTACTGAATCCTTGACTTCATTGTTTATTCCACTTTTTTTTTGTATTAAGTAATCCCGATCTTATTTCCCGATAATAAATTCATCAAGTTAACCATAATTGACTCGGATTTTTTTTCTCAATTTATTTTATAATTTCATCATTTAATATTAAATTATTAACTCTTGAGTTGTGATTTTTCTTTTATCTTTGTATTAGGTTATCCCAAATATGTGTTTGTTAAGTTAGCCCGAATTAACTTGCATTTTCTTAATCTATATTTTTTATTTAACTTCAATTTTTTTTTGTTCAGTAATTCTTTTAAAAGTCTTTTTTTTTTTAATCTCGATCTCATATAGTGAGTGACGGATTGATCGAGTTAACCCGAGTTGACTTATTTTTTTCTTGATTTTTTATAGCTTATATTTTGTTTCTTTCAATTCTATCATTTAGCATTAAATTATTTGCCCTCACGCTTTGTTGTTTTTCTTTTCTTTTCTTTATATTTTGTTTATTTCAGAGGTGGGTTCGTCAAGCTACCTCAAGTCAACTTGCATTTTCTTTTTCAATATTTTTTTATTTTACTTTAATTTTTTTGTTAATGCTTTTTTATTTAACTTTAATTTTTTTTTGTTAAGTCCTTCTTTTAAAAGTCTATTTTTTCTTATCTCGATCTTATGTCGCAATTGGTGGGTTAATTGAATTAGCCTGAGTTCATCTAGATTTTTTTCTCTTAATTTTTATGATTTTTTTTTTGTTAGTTTCATCATTTTCCATTAAATGATTTGCCCTTAAGCTTTGTCATTTTTTCACTTTTCTTTCTATTTAGTTATTTTGAGAGTAGGTTAGTAAAGTTAAATCAGATTAACTCAAGTTTTTTAAATAAAATTTGGTTTTTTTTTACCAAGTTCTTCTTTTGAAATTCTTTTTTTTATTTGATCTCATATCACGAGTAATGGTTGCGTCAACTTAACTTGAGTTAACTAAAAATTTCTTTTTCAGAGTTATGCTTTTTAAAAATTATTTTTTGATTTTTACCTTTAACATTAGATTATCAGGCGTTAAATTTTACAATTTCTTTTTATTTTTATTTTTTTATGACTTGTTTTGATGTTATATCTTTAATTATATTTTAGTAAATTTAACTCAAGTTATGTTTAATTATTATCTTCAAAATATTTTCTTTTTAGTATTAGAAAAAGTTTAGTGTTGTATGTCAGATATACGAAGGTGTTTGAGAGTATTTTTATATTTTTTTAAAATATTTTATATTTAAAAAAAATTAAAATAATATTTTTTATATTTTAAAAATTATTTATAATATCAAAATATCAAAATAATTTAAAAATATTAATCTAAAATAAAAAAGTATTAATTTTTTTTTAAAGTTATTATGAAACGTCAAAACAAATAATACTATTAATATATTAATGGCTGTTGTAGTTTCGAAATTACAGTACAGTACCATGGCAAAAGTTGTCGGCCACCTTGGATAGCGGTCCAGTTGATTTTTCTAAGCATCCACATAATATCATGCCACCGACAGCCATCCAAGAATAGGGCTGTTGGTCCACTCAATTCATCGCGCATGAAAGGGATCTCTTGTGATGTCAATTAATTTCATATATTGGAAAATATGACTTAACCAATCCATCGTTGCCACGTTCCTCATCTTATCTACCTCAACATCACCATCACTGCCACCCTATCCCTTATATACAGAGCTAGCTGCCCTCTTTTATCTTAGATTAGCTAGGCAGCATTAAAAGAGCTAGCGAAACACAAGAGAGGTACTATGAAGAGTCTTTCCTTGTCAGCTCTAACATCGTCGTTATTGTTGATGATGATGCTCAACACCATAAGTTGCGGTGCTAGCATTTTACTTCCGAAAATGGACGGTGACGTCCTCTTGTACTCCTCCATGGCTGATTCCAACATGGATTGGGAGTTCATGATGGATTCTGAAATTAACAGGATTCTCGTTCCCTCTACGAATGCCGGCGCCCTTGGGAGCCTAGATAGTGGTAAGCCAGTGTTTGATTGCGGCAAAGGTGAACGATACTGCGTAGCCCAAAATAAGGATGATCGGTGCCCGCCGTACAAGCGCGACTGCCCCCATAAGTAATCGAGATCTATCTCTAATATGTGGCCTTTTCTAGTCTGTTTGTTAAATTCCCTTCTTACTACTGTTAATATTATCTGTCGAATCGAGTGGGATTCGAGTTGAAGCAATAATACTCATGGTTGATTAAATTCTGCGTTGAACTTTAAATTGCGTTATTTGTGGTTGAAAACTCAATACACGGATAGAAAGAAATTATTTTCATAGAGAAGAGATAATCACAGACAAACCATTGCAGGGACCCTGGCCACCCCTGAAACTAAGAAATCATTTGAAACCTCATTGTTGGATAAATAATCCCAACTTACTGTAAGTTTCCCTACGAAGGGTAAAGGAAAAAGATCAAACTCAACTTACCGCTCCTCAGAATGATTTCATGCATCTCGTTTATTAATTATTTTCGTTATGAAAATGGGATATGGGTACATGGTTGTCTTGGCTTTTATGAATTACATAACTAATATAGCTGCTGAACTCCAAGCCATATATATTCCATGGAATCTTGGGTGCAAAATGTTTATTCTCCAAACTGATTCTAGGAATTTCACATTTATTGCTGCTGAACTCTCACATAACCTTCCAAAATAATCAAGAAATTTAACGTGGCCACCAGAAATAATGCTTCTAGAAATTCTATGAAGTTGAACTATCTCTTTAAAAAATAATTTTTTTATATAATTGTATTATTAATATAAAATATATCATTTAAAAAAATTATTTACAAACATAAAAATAAAATCTTTATCATTTTTTTACCTGAGTAAACCCAAAAAAAATTACATAGATATATGAACCCAAAATCTTTTAGATATTGATAAAGGGGTATTCCAACCATGAAAACTTATTATTATCTATATGATTAACTTAGGTATAGTGCGAGTTGAAATTTCTAAAATTGGTAATTTGAAATACTAAAATAAATTTAATTAAATTTGATAGGATAGAATATGTGGAGACTCCCGAGTTTAAATATTTTGAATTTTCGCTAGGTGGTAGTAATTTTGGACAAAAGAGAACAAATAAAAAATAAAATAAAGAAGCCACTATTTGGGGGAAAGAGTCTTGCGAGTAAGTTGAGAAATATTGAAAATTTCTTGCGATTTTGTGTTATTTTGATGAAAAAGTCTTAGTAAATTCAAGAGAAGTGGGGATTCTAGTAAGTTATATAAATTTCTTTATTTCATGTGGTTTAAGGAAATTATGGATGTAAGAGTTTGGGCAAGTTAATCAAATTCTTGTGAAATGGAAAGTTAGTTAGTGTGTAGACTCGAGGGAGGGTGTTTGAAGGAGATTTTTGGTAGGTTATGTAAACTTTATGTATTTATGGTATGTGAACATGAATGGGACGTATATATGGTTTGATTTCTTGTAGCATTGAATGTTTATGCATAATTGAAAATGTCTTAGAGATAGTAAGTAAAATAGAACTCTTATAGGAGTGATTGTTGGTGTGATGCGTAATATGTTTGGAAATCTATGTGGGTGTGGGGGGCTGTTTTGATAGCTAAAAGTGTGTAAAGTAGGTTACTGTAATATCTCTAAATATGCATGCGTAGGGCCTGTTTTCTAGCCCAAAAGTAGGTAAATATATAGGCTTCTTGGCAGCTGTGTGATTAATTGTGGGCTGCTATGGCAGCTATAAATGCGTAAAATGGTTAACCATCATGACAATTAGGAGTGTGTATAGGTGAAGGCTGTTATGGCTGAAAGAATTTAATTTGGTGTATGTGTTAAAGTTATCAAGCTAAAGGTGGGTGTGTGTGTTAATAATGTTACAGAGATTTAACATGTTCAACAATAAATTGGGGAAAATATGAAAAAATTATGATTTTTACTATAATTGGTTAAATTTCTAGTTTCAAGGAATTCGGGAAGATTTAACAAGTTAATAGTTGATAATTAAATTGGATTGATATTTTGTCTAAATTATTGGCATATAAGTGAAATTGAGTTAAATTAAGCATGCAAGTTTTACATAAAGTTGATTGATTATGTGAAAAAAAAAAACAATTTGCTATAGGTGGGAGTATGCAATACTTAGTGTGTATGATATTGCTACATGGTAAAAAAAATTCATGAGATGAGTTGTTAGTTATTGATAAAGATCCCTCTTGTCAATGTCACGAGGTGTGTTCGCGGTTGAAACTTTCAGAAAAAGAGCTTGTGTGTTAGGAGTACTGAATTTGAAATTTTAGTATATTTTTGTTAAAAATCTTATATTTTTTGTATTTTTTAGTGAATATGTTTGGAATGAGAAAGAGATGAACTTTGTGTTTAAAATGAAATAATGCATTATAGATTGAAATACGAATTAATGAGTCATGTGGTTGAAATGGGAAAGATGAATGTTATGGTTAAAAAAATAAATAAAAGGATTACATGTTGAAAGAACTATAAATGCATTAAGTAGGAATTGAAAACGAATGGAAGGATTGTTTGATATCATAGTTAGCTAATTAGATGGAGAGTATGAATACAAGTATTGAATTTAGTCAGCCATTTGAACGGAGACTAATGCGGATTATTTGGTATCATATTTGATTATTTAAATGGAGATTATAGATAAAAATATTAAATTAGTCAACTGTTTGAACTATTTATAAGAAAGACAAAAACTGATCAATAAAGATGTTATCATTTGTTATAAATGCAAGAAATTGGATCGTGTGAAGCATGATTGCACCAATATAAAAAATAAAGAAAAATTTGAAGAAAAAAAGGCAATGCAGGCAACTACTTGGAATGATGAAGATGATAGTGTTACCTTTTAAAAGATAATGACCACGACTAAGAAAAAACTAACCAATCAATGTTTAAATGACTTTTGACAATTCTGTCAAAAAAATATTGACTCGTCATATTTCATATGGAATTGTTGATAGAATTTTTGTTATTTTTTTCTCTATTCCATCATAAATTATAAATGATGAAATAGATTTTGCCTATGTTTTAATTGCTATTTACTAATTTTTCTCTAGTTTTAGAATGAACTTGGATATAGCATATTGTGAACTTTTCTATCCTTCTTCTCATTTACTTGTTTTATTTTGATAATTATTCCAATTTAAAAACTTAAAATATTGAGTGAAATTAATGAATAGTTCTATATTATTCCATTATACACCCGAGGGAGAGTATATAGATACATGTATAAGAAAAGATCCTTATCAAATAAGAATACATGTATATTAGCCTAAAAAAAGGGAAATTGAAGTCACTTTACAGAAAAAAGAAAAAAGAAAAAAAAAGAATAGACTCTAAGTTAAATTGTGAAACATTCACGAGATCAATGTTAAACTACTCAGAGAGACCATCATATTTTTAGAACTAGGTCACCTAAAGGATATGTTTGGGGGACCAAACACATGGAAGCTACGTCCACTAAATAGCATACAAAAGAAAATAAATGGCATCACTTTGATAGTATTTGGTTTCGATGACAGGACAATGCATATAATGTAATATGAGATAGTACAAGACAGAACACTATAGCATAAATTTTCATCTCTGTCTTTGGTTGATACTGGGGTACGAGACAAAACAACATACTTGATGAGACCATCTGTTTACGAGGTGGTAATTGCGGTTGAAGCAAGACGCAGGAGCTGAATGTTTGGTAAAACAACAGTATTTACTATTCATAGTCCTTGTTATTTATTTCATTGCAAAAACAGGGTTAGAAAAAGCAGCCACAACTGCTTTCACATGCTTCCCACTTATTTATGTGAGCTCTACCCGTCATGATAAATTAAATCCATGGGTTGCCCCACATAAAGTAATTTATGATACTCTATTATAATACAGATTCTTTTTTCTATATGTCAATGCGAAGCCATGAGCTTTTTTTTTTTTTTTTTTTTATAAATGATGTTTATACTATATTTGGGTTATGGTTAAATTATCGTTATTTTACTATTTTTTCAAATAAAAATTAAATTTTTATATATTAATATCAAAAATAAAAAAAAATATTATTTTAAAATATAACTACCAGCCTATCTGACCTAGTAAAATAAAATAAAATAAAATTTTTAATTTTTAATTTTAATTATATTTTATTAAAAAATTAATGTGTAACGTTATTCAATGATACTAATAATAAATTAGACAGAGATCACAATCTCGATTTTATTCTTGATAATATTTTACTTAATATTGTTGCACACTTAAAAAATCAAGAAAATTGTTTGTCGGATGTATTTCATACATGATGGAATTGTAGATAGTTTAATGAAACAATAAAAAATATTTTATATAAAATATTGTTTATTTCATGATATAATAACAGTAGTTAAATCTATAATATTTAAATTAAAAATCATCAATATTAATATATATTTTTTGAAATTATTTAGAAATCTCAATTTGAAAAATATTATTAATAAAATATATTAAACTATTTTTTATTCAATCTTAATTTTAACCATAGTTTTAACTAAAACATATATAAATATCAAACCAACCTCAACTAAAAGTATTTTTTATAAAATAATTTTTTTGAAACCATAACCATAAAAACTACTATAATACCAAACACACAAAATATATATTACATTTTAGAATTGTGAAAGCTAAAAATGCATAGAGTGGCTAAAAAATTCAAGTAGCCAAAATAATTTCATTAGTTTCTAGAAATTTTAGAATTTTGAAAATAAGTTCAACATCTTATAATATGCATGTTCTCTTTATTTTCATATTCAAGGACATATTCACAAAACATCCTTTAGCATATTATTATTCACATTTATCATCATAATATCACAACTTTCACCTCCTTCATATGTTTCTTTTCTTATAATTTATCTGATTTTAAAGTAGTTTGTAATAAAAAATATATTAATTTATAGAAAATTATAATACTTGTTTAATTTAATGGTTATGTGGTTCGTTAATTGTATAATTATTTAGTTTATAAAAGCTATGAATCCAAGAATTCATAAATGTTTAAGTTATGAGACTAAAGTCAATAAATAATCCTAGTATCTTGTTGAGTTTAATTTTAATTCATATATTATTGAGTTTAATTTA